TCCCTCCATGTGCACCGCCATTACGAAAAATCATCTACAGATAAAAAAGAAGAAAAAAAACAAACAAAAAAAAAAAAAAAAAAAAAAATCAGAATCCCACAAAGCTCTCAGGATGACCCGCTGTCTAAACAGCCAAGAGGGACGTCATCAGCCGCCCAGTTCCAAACAGCCGACGAAGACGAGCAGAGAAAACACGACGTCTGTGACTGCCTTGTCCTGGACAACAGCACACACGAAACGATGCAGAGGACGTCATGATCTATCGCGGATGGCTTTTGCTATCTCGACGAAGGTGTTGCACATCATCTTGTTCGCCTCATCCGCTGCACCTCCTCTGCACGTCCACTTCGGTCTCCAGGATCTCGCACTGCCGCAGCATCATGAAGCACCGTTGCTTGTTGGCGCTGTCCATAGTGGTCGCCATAAGGGTTTCGTGTTTGTCCATGACATCTGCAATTGCTTTGAAGGTCTGTTGCCGCATGTTTTTCCTCTTGCCGGTCCTGCCCACGCTCTTGTTGCTGAACATGGAATCCTTCCTTTATCCTTGTTCGCCATCCTACGCTTCTCCACCACCCCCACTAGCGATGGATTCGGCTCCAGGACCTGTTGCAGGCCTCACAGGCATGTGGACCCCGCTCGGCGTCTCAGTGTCCTCGACATTCTTCAGATAGTTGGTGTGATTCCCCTTCGCCATCGCGTCCATCTCCTTGTACACGCTCCGATCTACGAAGAAATTGAAGCCCTCCGACCTCCTCTCCCCTGGCATCAACTTGAAGTAGTCCTTCCCCCCCGGAAAAAAACTAGTACTTGTGAACCTTCTTGAAGTGTTGCATCAACTTGTCCCATTTCTTCCCGCAGTCGATGGCCTTCCTATCCACGCCCATCTTCTTCAACCTGCTCTCAATGTCGACCCACTACTGTCCCTGCTCTTCATGCGCCCAAAGGTGTGCCCTATGCCCGCGAAATAAAGATCTTGATCCCGTCTCGCCCGAACGAGAGCAACCATGTCCATCACGGACCACAAGTTCCTACCCCCCTCGTCATTGCTCCCCCAACTATCCTCAGCTGGTTTCTTACCTCGTCGCCCCCTGTGCGCAGAACCCTTCCTACCGCCCCCCCGACCGCCCATACCCTTCCTCCCCATGGGTCGAATCTCCGGCAACTCCTCCAAGGGATAATCATCTTCAGGCTCGGCGTCATTGCAGTCGTTATCGCCCTCCACCGGCATGTCGCCGCCGTCGTCGTTGTCGTCGACGTAGAGGCGTCCCACCCCCTTCGTTATGGCCTCTGCTCTAACTTGACGAAGTTGCTGCCGTTGCTCTGCCCACACCTGCCAATCGGTGCGTTCCGTGGGAGTACCTGGCGACTGTGTGTCATCTGATTGTCGTCGTCCACATGGAGTCCCCGCGCCGCTGCCCACTGCAAACGATGATCGCATCCATCAAGGACGACCGTCTACGTCGCACACTCCCCCGCACATCGAAGAATGTGTACATCGATCCCTCGCGCTCCATGACCTCACCGTTGTCGGACCATCCACCACCCCAAGCACCACCACAAACGTTTCTTTTGCGCAATCCCCGTCAGGGTGGGGATTGACGATGCACGTGTGCGTCACTGCCGCTCTGCTCCCGCTGGACAGGCCGAACGTAAGATCAACCGCAGCATCTCCGTGGCGGTCGTCCAACTCGCCCTCCAACAGTGACCTGTACCAGCCCAATCTTGCGTCGATCCGCTCCCCAGAGGCGGACTCGATGACCGACCAACGTCATCGTCCTGCTCGTCGTCCGTTGGCGGCAAAGGAATCTTGTGCGAAAGCAGATGAGAATCTAATGATGGATCGTACGACTGCCTTTTTGCACTACTCGCAATGCGCTGGCAGGTCTATCACCCTCCTGTCATGCTTGTCGGTGTGCGCTTCATCACACATCAGTCCATCCCGTCACCCTCCCTCGACGACCGCCTCTTGTGTGTAGCTCCAGGCAACCGCCCCAGGAAACACATGTGGAACAAGAGGACAACCAGAAGCAGCACACAAGGAGGAGCAGCAGAGGGAGCCTGCGGCACAGGTCAGCCATGAATGGCACGGAGGAGACGGCAACAATGCGACGTCTGTTGTCAGACGTCCAGCGAGTGACAGCGCTGAGGGCGGCGAAGGCAGGACTCTTGTTCTTTCTGCAGCAGGCGGCAACAGGAGATGCAAAACCACGTCAGCGCAGAAGCTGCTTCCATCCAGAAGGAGGAGCACGGTGGGCAGGCGCCACCGTGCAGACGCTTCTCCAGCGCGGGAGGCCGCTTGAAGCCAGCCGAAGATGATGACCCCACCCAGGAGGAGGCCGAGCGCCAACGGTAACTGTTGGAGGCCGTTGCGGTACTACGCAGATGTTGACGGCCGGGGATGTCCGACTTCACAGCGTCGGACCACGTTTGGACCACCAAAAAAACGAAGGCCTCCGTCGACGCACGTCTTCGCCGCTTTGGAAATCGTGCTTCCTTGAGTTCCAAGGCACCTTGCGAGGTCCTTTGGAGATAACGGAAATTTGGTTGGGGCCACAAGGAATTTTCCTTGTGGTGCTTTCACTTTTTTTTTTCGTTTCCATCCCCAAGGACAGGCGGAACGTCCTTGTGGATTTTGCATCCCCAAGGAGTGTCTAGCGAGGCCCTGAGCCACACAACCTATTGGTTGTCATGCTCTAGCACTCACCTTTGCATGTCAGATAGTTTGCCATAGTTTGACTTCCATCCACAGTTTACAACACTCACCACAACTTTGGTAGCAATTCAGTGACTAAAATCAAACACTTCAAGTCAATTTCAGAAAATGACCGGGAAAAAAAAAAGGAAACCTTTCAGGGAGGTGCAAAGGTGGCTCACCAGACTCTTTTTTCGCTTCTTCGAAAAATGTAGCGACCAAGGCTTGCTTTATGACATGCCAATACACCGTGAATTGCTAAACTCACACTAGTACTTTCTTGTACGTATCTGGCTGCAATTACGGCCAGATTTCGATGAGTTTGAACACAGTCACCTAGGGAGCTTATTACAAATTGTCCTAGTGTGAGCATGCCCTAAGAGGAAATGACAGCTGCCCCCAACCAACGGGCCTAGCTCAGTTGGTAAACCCATGAACTGTTGAAATGCTGACCTGTGTTCGAATCCAGAGGTATCTAGATGATGACTCCTAAATTATTTGGGGCCAAGCAGATCTATCTCAAACCCATTGGCCTGTGGCCCCGCCATTTCAGAGTACAAAAGATTTGTAAAAATAAGGGCCAGGGCGAATTGACACTAGGGGCAGACCCCAGTATTCGGCAGTGGAAAAAAAAAGGGGTCAGGCCAAATTATTGGTATGGCGTGGCCCTAATACTACCTAGGCTTGCATACAGGTCTTCGGACACCCGGGCCAAACCTCTACCCAGCCGTTACCACTCAGGCACTGTTTCAACACCCAGCCCCACCCCACAGTTTCCCAACCCGGCCATATCCCCCACTCAGATTTTCACACCCAGCTGCATGGGTGCATTGCATACTAATCTTACCATATGCACACCTGTCCATAACTGCCAGGTACGGCTGGGTATGGTCGAGTTGGGTCACGGCCACCCATTGTCTGCGAAGCATGTCATGATACCCCTCCAGACAACCCCTCCCCCGTCCCTTTGTGTGCAAAGCCTTCTGACAACCTTCCGTTACACTCCCTTACCCCTCCCCCGCCCAATACACACAAAGCACCCGGCATTTCCCCTCAACACCTTTGCCGCCTCCCCTTTGCATGCGAAGCTTGTCATGACTTTCAGCCCCTTAACAGTTCTCTGGCATACCGACTGGGCCTGTGAGGGCACGTACTTGTTCTTGTGCGGCGGCATGGCTGCTTTGCGTTGTTTTTGGGCCAGGACGTTCCCAGGCAGGTCCTGGTAGCTCGTCCTTAGGTGAGTTACAATTTTTATTTATCTGGTTACAATTTTATAAATAAATGAATAAAAATGCTGAACTGGTTCAAGGTTGGCTTAGCAATACCTTCTCTCCATATTTCTTCAAGTCGGGGCCTGTCGCAGCAAACTCCACAAACAAGTTGTTTGCATCCACTGTCAGGAGGTGAAGAAACCGATCGAACAATGCTGCAACGTCCCTAGGCTCTTGCAAACTCTGTGACATAATAAGCTCAACTGTCCTCCTCACTCCTGCCAATGAAGGTTCTGAGGGGTGAAAGAATGACAAGGAGGCATTCTGGTGAGGCTTCACTGCAGAGGTGTGCGAGAGTACGGTGGAGAGCGTATCATCTGCTGCAGGAAAAGAAGTTTCTGAATTCTGACTTGTCTCACCAGGAAGATAGACCTGTGGCATGCCATAAGTTGAGCTGACGACATGATCCAATGCCTGCATCACTGCACACTGTGCTTCCTGCAAAGATGGAATAAACCTGCCACATGTCCAACTCCAAGCACTTAGAAGTTAGGACCAGTCTGGTAAACAATGGAACAACAGCATGAATGCAAATCAATCTCCTCATGCGTTGCTCTTGTCTTTTCAACTGAAATAATAATGAATAACAACTATGTAATAATATAAATTAATGATTTAATAAATAAATAAATCCTAACCCTTAAGCAGCATTGGCCGCGGGGGGAGGCCGGTGTTCCGCTGTGCGCCGGAATCAGGTTGAAGTTTTGATGCGGGCCGGCGGATGAAGGTGATCAAGGGAGGGGGGGCGTGCAGAGCGGTGCACGTACCGAATTGTTCACAGCGCGCCAGAAGATGAGAGAGCACGCCCACAGGGCCCAGCGGCGGCGGCGTCGATGTGAGGGAATATGTCGAAGCGCCCGCCGTCGGACAGGAAGAAAGCGTCGTTTTGTGGCCCGCCCCCTTTTTTGAATTCTGTTTTCGGTCGGTTTTTTTT